TCTTTATCCATTCATCTGTCGATGGACATCTTGGCTCTTTCCACAGTTTGGCTATTGTGGACATTGCTGCTATAAACATCGGGGTGCATGTACCCCTTCAGATCCCTACTTTTGTACCTTTGGGGTAAATACCCAGTAGTTATCACAAAATTTCTTATCTCCTGTTTTCTTCTGGAAAACTGCTTCTTCTTCCCATAGTGAGCTTTACTCTCTCCTCCCTTTTTCCTACTGGTTAGGTACATAAATCTTTAACTTTATCTATTTATTGAGCTACTTTTTTTTTATAAGCTCCGTATGCATGGGAATACATTTTTCTCCCTCTTGTTCATCTATCTTTTGTCATGTTAATTTGCAGGCCTCCAGAGACAGAACCTAAGAGGGTAGATGACAAAGTTTTTCCTTCCTGACATCCTTAGAATGAAACTAAGGGCGTATGGGAACTAGGTGATGAGTGAATAAACATAGCCCAAAGACATGGACTGAATCCAGGGTGCCTGTTTTAACGTGAAGGGGGTGGCGTCCATTTAATGGGCAAGTCCACATCTTTCCCCCTCCTCCCTCATGGGAGGGGAGAAATCAAAATGAAGGCAGGCGCAGAAAAGACAGCTATTATATTCTCACTCATATGTGAGATTTAGTGTGTAAGTTTTACTCCCACCATATAGAAGCAGAGTGAAGGAGGCCATCCTATATATGGAATTTGCCCCAATCCCAAATGGACCACTTTGGCATAAGGATCATTTTGAGCTGGTGGCACCTGAGCATGGACAGATACAGGAGGAGTTCTCAGCCTCCTTATCTACATAAAAGCAGGGCACAGAACCCTTTGTGAAGGGTTCCCCCAGCCTGTCCTGTGCCAGGAAGAGGAGAGTGACCCTTATCACTGGAGAGGGGCCACCAGCACTGAGAAGATACTTCACAGACAGACCTTACTAAAATAACCTGTATCGGCCATTAGTTCAACCACTGATTCCCTAGTCACGTCCCCACAATTTATTGGGCCCAGAAGCTGAAATCCCCATTCCTGTGTCATGGAATCTCCTCAATTTCTCACCTCTTTAAAAAATGGCAGGAAAGCTCCCTAGTCTGACCACTTCTTTGGGTGTTTACTTCTCTTCTGTGCATCTTCATGTATGTAAAAAGTTGAACTAAGAACAAATCTATATGTCTTTCCTCCTGAAAAATCTGGCATTTGTCACTTTAATTTGCATGTCCCCATCCCAAGATATAAGAGGATAGAAGAAATGTTTTTTCTTCCCTGATGAGAGAAATAGGAGCGGAAATCAAGAGCAGGGAGGGGACTCAAGAGTCATTTCACAGGAATTCAAGATTTACAAGGAGTAAAGCCATAAGGCATGAGCCATGAACGCTTACCCGTGGGATTTGCCTGGTGGTAAAGTTGGGCATGATGGAAGAGTTCAGCGGGCTATAAGTGCATTCTTGCTGACTCACATTTCTTATGTAATTCCAGGTTAACATTCTTTTCCTTGGATCTAGCTGCATGTTTGTAATAGGAGATATATTCTCTTGTGCTGTAATTAAACAACAACAACAACAACAACACTTAGTAGGAATTAGACCCCCTCACCCCCAAGGTGATGTTGTAGTTACAGGTGAGAGGAGACAATCTACAAACTTCAGGTGTGGATTGTTACATTTGTTTACTGAGGCCGAATTCACACACAAAATTAACCATTTCAAAGTGAACAATTCAGTGACATACAGGAGCCCATGAAAAAAATGCTCAGATCCATTAGTTATCAGGGGAATGCACATCAAAACCATAACGAGGAGTCACTTCATACCCATTAACTTAGCTTTGGTAATAATAATTTGAAAGATACAGAAAACAGTTTGAAAAGTACACGTTAGCTGTTGCAATAATTTGAAAAATAAAGAAAATAATTTTAAAAATACAGAAAAGTTAAGTATAGTAATAATATTTTGAAAAATATAAAAAATAATTTGAAAATATGGACAAGTTAGCTATAGCAACAATAATTTGAAAAATACAGAAAATAATTTGAAAAATACACAAAAGTTAAATATAGTAATAATTAGAAAACTACAGAAAATAATTTGAAAAGTACAAGTTAGCTAAATAATAATGTGAAAAATAAAGAAAATAATTTGAAAAATACAGAAAAGTTAAGTATAGTAATAATAATTTGAGAAATACAGAAAATAATTTGAAAAATACAGACAAGTTAGGTATAGCAATAATAACTTGAAAAATACAGACAACTTAGCTATAGTAGTAATAATTTGAAAAATACAGAAAATAATTTGAGGGGTGCCCGGGTGGCTCAGTAGGTTAAGCGTCTGCCTTCGGCTCAGGTCATGATCTTGGGGCCCTGGGATCGAGCCCTGAGTTGGATTCTCTGCTCAGCGGGGAGTCTGCTTCTCCCTGTCACTCTCCCTCTGTGCTCTCTCTCAAATAAATAAATAAAATCTTAAAAAAAAAAGAAACTGGTAAATATTTTTAAAAAGGAAAATAATTTGAAAAATACAGACAAGTTAGCTATAGTGATAATAATTTGAAAAATACAGAAACTGATTCTTAAAATACAGAGAAATAAAAACACAAAAAATTTTTAAAATACAGAAAAAAGTTTAAATACAGGAAAAACAATTTGTAATACAGAAAAAAAGTACAGAAAAAATTTAAAATCACAGGGCAGGCTGTGGAGACATTGGGACCCTCTAAACCTTCTGGGAGGGAAGGCAAAGTGGGCCTTACTGTGTCAGTCAAATTGAGGGGCTTCCCTCTCAGGCCTTCGGGATGAGCTTTGCCTCTTGGGATGGGGTTGGGAGTGGGGTACCTGATGCATTACCTGGGCCAGGAAGGAACCTGCCACAGGTGAGGACAAGTAGAAACTAACCATGAGGACTTTAATTCTCCCTGTCAGGGGGGAAAAAAAAAAAGGTGGGGAAGGACCAATTAATTTACAACAGAGCCAAGAATATAGAATGGGGGATGAATAGTCTCTCCAACAAATGGTGCTGGGAAAAGCAGACAGCCACTTGCAAAAGAGTGAAACCAGACCACTAACCAGATTCACAAAAAACTGACTCAAACTGGATGAAAGACTCAAAGGTACCACCTGAAACCACAAAACTCCTAGGCAAGAAAAAAAACAAAAAACAAAAAGCCAGGTAGGTAACTTCTTGACATTGGTCTCAGCAATGATTTTTTTTTTTTTTTGACTTGACACCAAAAGCAAAGGCAACAAAAGTACAAAGAAGAACATGATCCTTCATGGAGGGACTATGTAAGTGTCACAAAACCAGAATGTCTGGCCCCAGATCTGGAGCATCTGTGAAATGTGATCATCAGAGAAGTGAACGTCCACCTTCCCCAGGAAGTTTAAATACAGGAAAAACAATTTGTAATACAGAAGAGGCGTGTACACACCAGAAGAGGCGCCCACCTTCCCCAGGAGCCTGGCTCCAAACCAGGGGGGATTTCTCTCCCTGCCTATGCAACCTCTTTACTGGGTCACCTGCGGTAAGACTTCTACATTCTCTTGCACCTTTGTGGAGAGGTTTTGTGGGTTAGCAGGAGTTTTTTTTTTTTTTTTAAATACATTTTTTAAAAGATTTTCTTTCTCTCTTTCTTTTCTTTTTAATATTTTATTTATTTATTTGTCAGAGAGAAAGAGAGAGAGAGAGCACAAGCAGGGGGAGCAGCAGAGGGAGAAGCAGGCTCTCTCATGAGCAAGGAGCCCAGGACCCTGAGATCATGACCTGAGCCAAAATTAAGGATGGGATGCTTAACTGACTGAGCCACCCAGGCATCTGAGACTTTTTCTTTTTTTTCTTTTTTTAAAGATTTTATTTATTATTTATTTGACAGAGAGAGACAGGCAGAGAGGGAACACAAGCAGGGGGAGTGGGAGAGGGAGAAGCAGGCTTCCCACGGAGCAGAGATCCCGATGCGGGGCTCGATCCCAGGACCCCGGGACCATGACCTGAGCCGAAGGCAGACGCTTAACGACTGAGCCACCCAGGCACCCCGAGACTTTTTCTTTTTAATAAGCTTTTCCCAGGACAAGCAGAAGGCCTGACACCCCAGCTGGGTTCAGGGTTTGGGGATAGAGTCTTCACCTTTTGGTCCTTGATTCTGCCAGAGGATAAACATCCACCTATAGTTTGATTTACAAAAGGACCCCTTCCTCTACCAGAGCAGGGGGTGGGGTGGAGATGTTTCAGGTCTGGGGGAGGGATGTTTGTCTCCTTCCAGCATTAGGGGGTACGGCAGTCCTGCCCCATCCAGACCCTGGCGTTGGAGCACCTGCCTGTACCTACCCAGCTGTGCTTGTCCACGGAATGCTGAGTTCAGGAGGACCAGAAAGCTCACAAGATCCAGAATGGTCGCCATGCACGAGCCCTAAAGCTGCACCTAAACAGGAGGAGACGCCAGGTCAGAGATCAGATTCCAATGAGGGCAGGAACCCTCCCTTCTCGGCAACCCCCACACCCCCTAGGGGAGTCACCAGTAATGAGCCTCTACAGAGCATGCAGGAGCTCTTGGGGTGCATCCCGTGTCCCTATTTGGATGGCAGTACCCCATCGGAGCATTGTGTGGGGCCACCATCCTATTGCCACACCCCTGGGTCCCCCCCACAAAATCACAGCACCTCTAAAACTCTGCTGGAACTCCCTTCACAGCATCAGTACGTTCAACATGCATCCCTGATGACCACTTTCCGCAAGCTGGGATTGAACCAACTTTTCCCAGCATGCATGACTTTTCCCTAGCCCACTGTCACTGGCCGTTACTGGTCCAGTCCACATTCCTGCTGCTGAAACGCTTGTGTGGGGACCCATTCCAAACCCCAGAGTTGCTACTGGGATTATTTTAGGCTGCTTCTTTTGTACAGGGTGGCTGAGGGGTGGGACAGGTGAGACCTCCAGTAAAAAGAAGAAGGAATGTGTGGTGAGGATACTGATCCACAGCAGCCACTTTGGGGTATGAGGCAACTCTGTCTGGCCTTGAGCCAAGCCCCTTGGGCTACCATTTTCCTATATCACAAAGGTCCCAGCAGGTAGGGACACTCCTGGCATCATCCTAAGGGACCAACCACGGTTCAGAGGGAGGTCACCTGCCTTGGTGTCCATGTGATGAGTAGTGTCTTTAAAAGCCATCTGGAGGTGGGCAAGGAGCTGTGGAGCTGGTTGTGTTGCAAAAGCCAAAAAAAGCAATGAAAGTTTCTGTAATATTCTGAGGGAACCTCTTCCTGTGTCTGGTGATGGCAGGGGCAGTGTTTTGTATATTTGATCAGATTTTTTTCTAATAGCTCTGCATCAGTGCAGATTAGCAAGGGCTGGACACAAAGACAGGGGATGGCCTCAATGGCTGAACTGAAGTCATGGGGAGTGAGGCCACAGGTGACCTGGCTGGGGATGGAATATATTTTTTTAATTATTAATATTATTATTATTATTACTACTATTATTTAGAGAGAAAGAGAGGTGAGGGGAGAGGCAGAGGGAGAGAGAGAATGTCAAGCAGACTCCCTGTTGAGCACAGAGCCCAATGCAGGGCTCGATCTCATGACCTGAGCTGAAATCAAGGGTTGGATGCTTAATGGATTGAGCCACCCACATGCTCCAAGGAGGGAACAGCTTTGTAGAAAGAGCCAGTACAAACCTGGAGGTCACCAGAGACTCGGGGTACACAAACCCCTCAGGACATTACAGTGTTTCAGCCCTTTCCAGAGACCGTTGCCAACCTCCTGGGATGAGAGACATTTATCTTCCTACCTGGAGGAAGCAGGTAAACTCCTTTCTGCTCTGTGTCTCATTAGTGAGCAAGAAGTCTTCGTGCATAGGACAGACCAAGGGAGAAGGCTGGGAAAAGGGAGATTCAGAGAATAGAGGTTGTACAGGAGGAAAAAAACAACAACCTTTTCCCTCTAACTTCTTAGATTCTGTTCCCGACACCTGCAAATTAAGTGGATAAAAGATTAACAGGAAAAGCAGCCTTAACCACATATATATGCATGGAGGTTCACAAAGAAAAATGCGGCTCAAGGAGACAGCCAGATGATCAGGGCTTATAAAGCATCTTTGATTCAACATCAGAAGGGGGTTTCTGGGTTCCTTCCGATCGGGGAAGGACAGTTATGGAGAAATGGAAAGCAGGAAATGTGTGGTAAATACGGGCTGTTGTTAATAAGAATCTCTCAGATGATAGTAAATCTCTGGGTGTAGTCATGTTCCTGGTAGAGAACCATTTTTACCATTAGAAACTTCATTTACAAATGTCCTTTTCCTTTCCCAAGGGGTACTTGATGTCCTCTATTTCCTGGCAGTTAGGGAGGTATATAGAGCTTTTTCCTGCTTCTGCTGGTTCTCAGTGGCTTGTGTTCCAAAATCATCCATATGCCCAAGAGGTACATTGTGGGGTGGGGTGGCATGGTGTGGTGCCCTTCAGGGCTGACCTTGGCCCCTCCGTGTGGGGTGCAGGGCTCTGTAAACCAGAGCAGTGGGTGGGAGGCGAGTGCTCTGGCTGAGCCCGGCGGAGACCACCCCTCCTGGAAGGCGTTCTCAATGCACCTGTTCTGGGTCAGTCCCACGGCAGGGGGTGGTCTGCCTGTGCCTGATGGTGGTGGGTCTCAGGTGCGTCCCGGCTCACAGCTTCCCGCCTTCCCCTTAAGGGGGTGACCCTGCCATGCCACCAACATGGCTCAGGCACTCTGGGATCATTGCTGACATGTTCCCCCACAAGGACATAGAACCTGGGGACATATGTGAGCTACAAGGGGAAATCCGAGGTCTGTCTGGAGGCACATGTCCAGGGCAGGAAGAGCCCACGTGGCCAGGGCTGGGGGAAGTGAGCTCTTTGGGGAAGGGCCGGTGCTGAGTCAGGCTCCGTGTGAACGCAGACCACAGAAGGGCCACACAGAACCTCAGGGTCGGCTGCCGGAGAAACTCAGAGGGGACAAAGCCAGGCCCAGCGATAAGGTTCCAAAGGGCGTTTGAAGCCCATGGAGGAGAAAATGCTTTGAGGGGAAAGAGTCCTTTTCAGCATGAGGAGCTGTGGTCTTGGCCTAAGGGGACCTGTGAGCAGTGAGGTGGGTATATCCCTTCTCTAAGAAGGGGGCTTCTCCTGGGGGCTGAGTCGTGCCCCCCTAAAATTCACGTGTCGAAACCCTCGCTCCCAGGACCTCAGAATGGGGCTGTATTTGGAGGTGGAGTCTTTAAAGAGGGGATTAAGGTAAAGTGAGGCCCATTGGGTGGATCCTGATCCCATACGATGGGGGTCCTTATAGGAAGAGGGGATAAGGACACAGACAAGCACAGAGGGATGACCACATGAGGACACAGGGAGGACACGGGGTCTACACACCAAGGAGAGAGGCTTCAGGAGGAACCAGCCTCAGCCCCTGCTGGATCTCGGACCCTCAGCCTCAGCCCTGCCTGGATCTCAGACTCCCAGCCTCCAGCCCACCTGGATCTCAGACTCGCAGCCTCCAGCCCACCTGGATCTTAGACTCCCAGCCTCAGCCCTGCCTGGATCTCAGACTCCCAGCCTCAGCACCCCCTGGATCTCAGACCCAACCTCCAGCCCACCTGGATCTCAGACTCCCAGCCTCAGCAATCCCTGGATCTCACACTCCCAGCTTCAGCCCTGCCTGGATCTCAGACTCCCAGTCTCAGCCCCGCCTGGATCTCACACTCCCAGCCTCAGCAGCCCCTGGATCTTAGACTCCCAGCCTTGGCCCCTCCTGGTTCTCACACTCCCAGCCTCGGCCCTGCCTGGATCTCAGACTCCCAGCCTCCAGCCCCACCTGGATCTCACACTCCCAGCCTCAGCCCCGCCTGGATCTCAGACTCCCAGCCTCAGCACCCCCTGGATCTCAGACCCAACCTCCAGCCCACCTGGATCTCAGACTCCCAGCCTTGGCCCCACCTGGATCTCAGACTCCCAGCCTCAGCCCTGCCTGGATCTCAGACTTCCAGCCTCCAGCCCCACCTGGATCTCAGACTCCCAGCCTCGGTCTCACCTGGATCTCAGACTCCCAGCCTCAGCCCTGCCTGGATCTCAGACTTCCAGCCTCCAGCCCCTCCTGGATCTCAGACTCCCAGCCTCGGTCTCACCTGGATCTCAGACTCCCAGCCTCCAGCCCCACCTGGATCTCAGACTCCCAGCCTCCAGCCCCGCCTGGATCTCAGACTCCCAGCCTTGGTCTCACCTGGATCTCAGACTCCCAGCCTCCAGCCCTGCCTGGATCTCAGACTCCCAGCCTCCAGGACCGGGATCAATAAATGTCTATTATTGAAGTCACCCCACCTGGGCTATTTGTTACGGCCGCCCGAGCCAACTCCCACAGCCTAGTCTCCAGGAAAACAATGCATGCTGACGCTGGGTGAGTGCTCAAGGCTGTCCCCACCCTCAGCTGTGTCTGCACTGTGAGTCCTAGGGCCGAAGGATGGGGACCACTGTCTGTTGCATGCAGGGACCAGGAGTGGGGGCTCCTGTCTGGACCCTGGCATGGATGCCTGGTGACTCCGGAGGTGGGAGCTGAGGGCAGGTGTGAGGCTCTGTAAGTACCCACCCTCGGGACAGGCCACCCTGCGGGGGGAGCCAGGGGAGGGCTGGATGCACCCCTGGCATCTTGGGGCATCCAGCAGGGTGGACAGAATTAGAACTCAGGACCCCAGGCCCCTGCAGGGAATTAGCTGCCCCCTCTGCCAACTCCTGATTTGTCCTGAAATGGCTGCATTCGTCAGCTTCGATGCTCTCCTAGGAGACGGACAAGAACCATGACGTGCAGACTGTGTCGCTGAGGCACGGAAAACAAATGTGTGCGTTTCTGCATTTTGCACGGGGCTCAGCATCCCCTGGAGGGACGTGGCGGCGTCTGGGCATGGGCAGGTGGAGAGGCCCATGCGGGACATATGAGTGGCTGAGCGCCAGGCCTGGGACTTTGGCATTTTCAGAGTCTCCAATTGCCCTTCTCATGGCGTTGACCCAACGACATGCCCGTTAACCCTTCTGGGCACCCCGTTTCTTCTGCACGTCTTACGAACAAATAAGATTCCTTTTGCTTTTGGTGTGCATGCCCACGGCCATCCTTGATAAGACAACTCTTCTCCCTGAGCCTTGTGCAGACTGCAGGAATTTGGAGACATGTCTGCACTGAGCTCTCTGCACTTTTGGAGGGTGCACAGGGGAGGTGGGACCCTCTATTCTCTCTGACAGTTGTCATGGCGCCCCCTCACTCGTCCCCTGTACCTCCCTGTCTCCTTTCCCCCATCCCGTGGGATGTTTGAGGCAAACCTTAAGCCCATATCTGAATGAAAAATATCTCGCTGTGTATTTCTAAGCCACCAGGGTGTTTCCAGAAGTAACCCCAGTGTCATTATCTGAAAATATGCAAACACAAATAAAAGGGGTTTGATGTATTTAGTCCTAAATTGGGCATTGGCCTGCTTTCTTCCCCGCGTTTCAGCGATCTATCCCCGATCTCTGGCCGCCGGCTACGGATGGCACCCGGCCCCTTCCCGGAGACGCTGCGAGTCTTCTCCGTTGGGAACAACGCTTTGCCTCCGGCGGCAATCCCCGCCCCCCACCCCACGTAAGTCTCCCCTTTGCCCTTTGGTTCAGTGGTTCCAGCTTCCAGGTGGACAGATCGGAGCTGTCAACATTTGCCGCAGGGACAAGTTGCGAGCTCGCCCATCGCTGCTGGCGGCTGCACGTCACGGCCTCGCCTTGCTCGGGATGGAGCTAGGTGGCCTCCGTGCTGTCCTCCCCAGGCCACACCCTTCCTGGGGACCCCCGCCCCCCGGGAAGCTGCAAGGGAAGGCAGCTTGTCTACCCCGTGCAGACCTGCAGACTAGAGCCCGCGTCCCCGCCTGGACCACGGCTCTGGGACCCGTCAGTTTCGAAGCCCGGCCCTCGGTGACCTTAATCCTTAACCCCCGAGGAAATAGCGTGTGATTACCCAGGAGTAACTTGCCTTCTACACACTAGCCAGACCCCGCGACCATTCATGCACACGCCGCCCGCCCTACCGGCTGTGTGTTTCATAAAGCAACACAACATGGCGGTTTCCCCAAGATGTGGGTTCCCGTGTTCCTGCCGTGGGGATGCTCACCCCCACCAGTTCGCCCTCCACCCCCCACCCCCGCTCCGCGAGGGACGCACCGAGCCCCGCACCCGTTTCCCTCCCATCCCGATCCCGCCCTGCCATAGGATCACGCCAAAGCCATTGCCCTACCGATGCGAGAAACGTCCACCTTACTGGTCAGCCAGCTTTCCGGAACGTTCTTGGAGCGTTGCAGCACGTTTGGAAGGTGCTGTCTTGCCCGGTTGATTGCAGCGCTGCAGGCCGCGGTCCCCAGGACGGCACAGGGAACCAGCAGAAAGAGCCTGGCCAAGAGCCTCCTGCATACGGATGCCCACCCGCAGTTCGTGCTCAGGTCAGCATTTGCAGAGACGCCTTATCTGCCATCCGCTGGGTCCTCCTTCTCAATGAGCGACCAGCCTGCGTTATCGCCCCGCCGGACAGGAAACGTTACAACACAGCCCGCCGTCTGTCTCAAGCTCGAAGCCGGCCCCTTGCTTTTATCAGCATCTTGGGGTTCCTCTTTTTTTTTTTTTTTTTTTGCAGCAGGATGTCTCTGGCCACTTGCCCACCTATTCCCTCTGGGGTGGTCAGGGTTTCTGTGCTCTGTGTCATGTTCTGGAGACTTCTGGCCTCCGTGTCTGCGCTCACATACGCTCCCCTCCACTTGCGGGAAGGCGAGCCCTTCCTACGCACTCAGCTCTGCTCGATGTCGTGCGTGACATGGTCCTAGCGTGTGTCCCCGAGGCTCCCCGGGGCGGGGATGCAAGCCTCCAATGCTTCCGCTCTGAGGGGACGGCTCCTTGCCACTTTGGGAGGCTGTGCCTTCCTTCTCTGACCGCCCTCCTCCGTGGAGCCTGGATGGACGGATCCAGTGGGAGAGCTCGGGAAGTGGTTGCTTCTCGTACTAGCAGGGTCATTATGCCCCCAGCACTCTCGGGCACGGGGACAACCATTCCCTGGGTTTCTCCTCCCTCAGAAATGGTGTCCTTTGGAGGCTTTTCTCATGAAATGTGCCTATCACCTTGTTTGCTCTTCTCAAAGACCATTTCATCCCGCGGTGTAGACAAGAGAGATCCCAGAGATGCCACGTGAAGTGAGTGCGTGGCTAGAAGGACAGCTCTTGGGATGCCTATGCTCTGGAATGCCTTGTCTTCGTTGGGTCTGCAAAGTCCAAACCATGTCCCTCGGTAGGGAATGGGTTACCATTTGATGGGTGATCCTCCATGGCCTTATGCAATAGTTACACTCCTGCTGTTTACTCTAGGAGCAGGTGACTCTTTCACTCCCAAACCCAGAAGCAAGTGGGAGGTTTGTAGAAAAGCAGGAGTGTTGGCGGGAAGGGTCTCTCTTTGCTTTGATTTGAAAGGGAAAGCGCCTCGTGCCTGTGGATTCAATATGGCGCCCTCTCCGGCCAGATCCCTGGTTGTGGGGAAGAAAGACCCCCATGCGGGTGCCCGCAAAGCTGAATGGGCAGTAGGGAACTGCCCGTGGTAGGAAGGAAAGGGGGTCTGGACTCCTCAGCCACCCTGTTATTCTATAAATCCCAGAAATACGGATGGCAGATCTCGCCGAGTCTGGGGTCGTCCGCAGCGTTGGTGACGGGGGAATGGAGAAAGGGATGACAAAGAGCTTGCTGTCGCGGGGTTGACGTTCCAGGGCAAAGCATGGCCACGAGGAGGGAACTTGTCAGGGATGGTGGGGACGCCGAATGCACAGGAGCAAGGCAGGAAACGGGGGGTCTGCCGGAGCAGGGCTGTGCCCTCCTGGCTACATGCGTCAGGACGCTCTGACAAGGTCTTACCCAGTAGGACACGGTCGAACAGATGCATTGATGAACCAAGGGAGCCCGTGGAAGATTCGGGGGGCATAGGACGCACCGCTGCAAAGCCTTGGGGCAGGGATGACCTTGGGGTGTGTGGGTCTGGAAGGTTCTAGGACACACAGCAAGCCGTCAAGAATGCAGAGCATGGTGGATGGTGCAGGCTGGCGGGTCCTTCTGAGCTTTGTGGGAGAGTCTGGGCAGTGGGTCACGTGGTCGAGTCTTACCCACCCCAACCCCCCAAATTCGCCGTGAACGTCGCGACCACGAGGATGGGCTGGCAGCAGGAAAAGGAAGCATGGCTGACGCCCACCATCGGCGGATAATTGAGGAATGATGGCGGCTTGCCATCTCTTGGTCGGTCGTCATGGAGGCCAGGAGAACGGACCCCCTTTGGCAAAACCATCTGATGCCTCAGACACGACCAGAGGGCACAGAATACGGACCCTGGGCACGGTGCGTGCTTGGCGGGGGTGACCTCGATGCTCCCCGGCATAGAATGGACAAACCAGAACACTTTACAATTATTTAATTATTCAAACCTCCCCTAACCGTTGTAAGAGTTATTAATTGTTCAGAAATCGGGCGACCCCTCGCACCACGCGGGTTTGAAATGCCTGGGTCCACTTACGTGCAGATTTTTTCTTTCTTTTTTTTCTGATGAATACACGACGGGACTGTGAATGTATTTTCTCTTCCTTATGACGGTCTTCCTCCCATTTGATTTTCTCCGGCTTGTTTTATTGTTAAGAACACAGCCTATGATACACAGAACACACGAAACTGTGTTAATGGACTCTGCGCGTTATTATTGGTCAGCCTTACAGCCAAGAGCAGGCTCCTCCTAATTAAGTGTTTGGGGGAGTCAAAAGTGATATGTGGGTTTTCCACCGCGCACGGGGTGGATGCCGCAATCCCGTTGTTTACGGGTCACCTGTGTGTCCCAAGTCCTGCGTGGCATTGATGGGATGACGTAGGTATTGACCATCCGCACCGTGGACACGATCTCGCAGGTGTCTGCATAAATCACGCGGTGTCATGCCTTACGTTTCAACCACGTGGAGAACATTCTATCTCTGTGATACCTCGTTAAGGCGCTCTTTAAAAAACTAAGCTTCTCGGTGGTCACCAAAAATCATGTCACATCGCTTACATGGAATGTGTACCTTTATTTTTTTGTTTCTGAGTGATCTCGACACCCGGCGTGGGGCTCGAACCCACGACCCCGAGATCAAGCGTTCAGGTGGTCTACCCACCAAGCCCGGCAGGTGCCCCCAAATCGGAACCCTTGTTAGAGGTGGAGAAGCAACGTTGGTTGGGTGGGAACCACGTTGTTACCGGTTTTAGACACGATGTATGAAGACGCGGGGTATGTGGCAAGAGGTGTTGGGGTCTTTTTCAAATTTAACTTTGCCCCCCAGGTCCGTACGTGAGCCTTCGAAAGGTTATCATCGTAGGGGAAACGTCCAGCGTTGTTTGCAGAGTCGACACACTTGCTCACGCTCACCTGACCGAATGCCCGCAATGCCCAGCCCAGTGGACGTCCCCGGAGTCGTGAACCGCGGGACACGTTGAATTCCGAGGGATGCGAAGGTCTGCAGCCGCGTCTGTACCTGGCACTTCGGTGACGGCTCTGGGGACGTCCCCCAGGACGTGCGAGCAAGGTGACAGCCCTTGTGGGGTTCACGGGGACTGCTTGGGAGCCGTGCGGGGAGACAGAGCTTTGGGGCGGGGGGCCCACGTGCTGTGTTAGCATGCTTCGTTCGTGCTAACCCCGGGTCCCGAAGCTCAGGGTGGGGACAGCCCAGGCCATCCGGGCAAACACAGGCCTCCCCGCAGGACCCCGTGTCCCGCCCCACAACGAGAACTCGGACAGCAGGGCGGTTGAGACACGGGGATGGTGAGTCAGAGCCTCCACATCCTGTTTCCCCCCCTGCGCCTGCCCAGCCGCCTCGGACGGACCGGGGTCCCCTGTGTGGCCCCTACATGCAGGAGGTGTTACTAACTTTGGGCCGGGCTCCACGTGAGGGAGGGGGTCCCCGAGACCCTCAGATCGGACTGGTCAGCTGGCTCTGCCCCACAACATGGGGCCTTCTGCCGGCAGCAAGTGGTGGGTGGGATTCTAGAATCTTCTGCTGCCTGCCGGGGTCTCCACAGAGAGACAGAGACACAAGAGCTGGGAACGTGTCCGTGCACGTTGGAAGTGACTCGATTTGCACTGAGATCCACCCCAAAATGACACTTTCCGAGCTCACTTTTCTGTCCTGTGTCCCGTCCGTGCATCCAAACCTAAAAGACAGAATCTTCCAAGACAATTTTTTTGCTTCGGATGACCGTGAGACACTTTATTTTCTGCTTTTCACCTGCTTCTCCCTTCTGGGACTTTTATTGTCAATATTATTATTATTAGACTTCTTTTTTTTTTTTCTTTTTAAAGCAGTTTCAGGTTCCCAGAAACACTGAGCAGAAAATGCAGGGTTCCCATGACTTCCCCAACCACCTCTTGCACTTCCCTGATTATGAACATCTTGTTCTGGGCAGTACATTTGTTACATTTGTTACATTTGTCACAAGTGATGTCGCTACACTGTTACAAGCTGAGCGGTGCATTCTTGGCTACAATGCACTGGGGACAGACCCCATGATGTCACACACCCTCGGTGACAACATCACACAGAAATGTTTCCCCGTCCTCACCCATTGGCGTTAAAAGCAACGGGTCCCAGGTTTCAAATGTTTTATTTCTGAAGTCCCCAGCCTGTGAATCGGAAGGGACAGGAGAGGCCCCCAGACTCGCTCCCCACATTGCTTTCCTGGTCCCCCGTCTCCCCATCTCGCCATCTACGAAAACTCTGAATGCAGTGGCACCCTTCATCTGGAGGACGTGCATGGGGACAAGGGGTCCAGGTGCAGTTGGGGACAGATTGGGACATTGGGGGCTCACCCAGTGGGGAAGGGAGTCCTCATTACAAGGCTGTAGTGGGTGGGATTTTCTCCCCCACAAAATATATGCCCATGTTCTAGCTCCTTATACCTGGGAAGGGGACCTTATTTGGGAATAGGGTCTTTGGGATGTGATCAAGTGAAGGATCTGACATGAGCTCATCCTGGATCAGGGTGACCCTAAATCGAAGGACAGGTGTCCCTATAAGACACAGAAGAGGAGACACACACACAGAGGAGAAGCCACGTGAGGACAGAGGCAGAGACGGGAGGGATGTGGCCACAAACCCAGGGATGCCTGGAGTCCCAGAAGCTGGAGGAGGCGGGAAGGACCCTCCCCTGGAGCCTTGGGAGGGAGCTTGGCCCTGCCCCGCCTGGATCTCAGGGGTCCTGCCCCGCCTGGATCTCAGCTGCCCTGCCTGGATCTCAGCCTTCTGGTCTCCAGAGCTGGGGAGGACATATGTCGGATGTTTTGAGCCCTCCCACCCCCTGGTTTGTGCTGCTTTGTTATGAGCACCCTGGAAACTTGTCCAAACACCCCTGCCTAAACCCCAGCTGCCCTGCCTACATATCTAGACTCAGATTATCTTCCACAGGGTCCCCGTCTCCCCTACACATGGCCAACACTTGCCCTGCTTTCCTGGCCCCTCTCCCCCTGTCTGTGCAAGGGAAAGCACCCCCACTTGCCTGCCTGGCCTCCTGTGATCCCCCAGGGCATGCTCAGTTCTCATGTTTCCTGGAGAACTCCTCCCACCATGGGCAGAGAGCTTGCTCTCATACATGGGGCATTTTCTCATGCATCTGCAAGAACATGGGGTACACCCCAGCTCTGTTCCCCTGATCTGTCAGCTACTCACCCCGCTGTGTGCCTTCCCCTGATGTTCTTGACAATGTGAGCACATGGAAACCGAGTGTGACCCCAGACTGTTTATCTCCGGAGAACACGCTTCAGGGAGGCTTTCTCCCCAGAAGCGGGTGTGGCCCCCACCTCTAAGGAGAAAGGGCTCCAAGGAGGAGCCCATCTAACCCCCAGGTTGCGACTGGTCCTCACAGCCTGCTGACCCCCTGAAGGTCTTCCTCCTGGAGTCCTAGTCCTCTTGGGCATCCTCTGGGTGGGACCCAGAGCTGGGGTGAGACCCCCCCCAGCATCCAGACAGAGAGCCATTTCCAGGATCCTGTGTGGAGTGGGGTCTTAGGGTCCCTCTGCACCTGGAACTGCTTCTCCTGGAGCTTCATCCTGCCCTGACACTGCACCCATCTTCCAGTCGAGGACTTCACCAGGGGATCTTTCTTACGGGGTTATTCCAGGGACACTGAAAATGTCTCCTGAACAAAAGCAGTCTCTCCAGCCCCCCCGCCCTGCTGAGTTTAGACTCTTTTAAACCTCACAAAACCATCAGCCCTTACACCTGACGATGAAATGCAACCAGCCTGGGAAGGTGGCTGCCAATTCATACTAAGGTGATAATGACTGATATCACAACCGCTCATAAATGCAGGAAGTCACTCTTTCACAGACGTTAAGGGTTAGAGGGGAGGGCGTCATGGGAGGCAGAACGGGGAAGGAAAGCAGGAACTAGAAAGTGGAAAGGCTAAATATAAAATGTGTCTACTTCACACTGTGATTTAGATTTTCCCGAATCCATTGTTTGCCGGTGGATAGTTCTGTTCACAGAAACCCGGTTTTTTGTTTTCTGTGCATAGAATCTTCTGGTCCCATCTGGGCCGCTCCAGGGCAAAATTTCAAAGTGCCTTAATGCTGCCATCCATGCTTCTACCCCTCACACTCCTGCATGGGCTCCTTGGGCGGCCAGCCGTAGTCCTGCCACATGGAGGTCCTGTCCTCTGCTGTCGGCCTCCGTTGGGCTGGCATCTGTCATCCTGGAGGCCAGGTTGGTCCCTCAGGACTCTGGGCAGCATGTACTTTCCACGGACAATTCTTGGCCTGAAGGGACGCCCCCACGTGTGAAGGCGTGATGGTGTTTCATAGACATGGAGGAAGGGAAACAGGTTTCCTGCATCATGTGCATGATCTTATGGACGGACAGGTGGACAGGACTCATGGGAAGGGCTGGTCGGAACCTGCGAGGCAGGGGCAAGCTGGAACCACCTAGTACACACTCGGGGAGCCCACGCTGAACACCCAGGAGAGGTCACAGCTCCTGTCAGGCCATCGGACGATCTGCAACACAGGAAGCAGAAAATGCTGTAAATCAGTGCTTCTTTTGGTTCTGTTTTCCTTTTCATTTCCTGGTGAGTTGACTGAGGGGAGGCCCCTGAGACCTCTGAAGTGGGGTTCAGCAGCTGGGGGATCACTGCAGGCCCTGAGCATATAATTTTGTTCCTTGAAACTTTATCAGGAGCAAATTGCAGAGCAAAGCTCCTGGGGTAGGGCCCCCTCACCCTGGGCAGACCCACCCGATCACACAGGAGCCCCTTGGGAAGGCACGGGTGGTGGTGGGGGGCACTACCGTAGGGAACAGGGCCCCGTCGCCCTGGCACGTGTCACCTGGGACATGCACAGGGGACCCACTGCAGAGCACATTGCAATGCATTCCCAATTGAAACGGTTCCATGAGGATCCGTTCGTGTGTTCACACAGATAGGCGACAAGCCCCCTGTTACTCAATCAAACACTCAGCTAGAGGTGTTTTGCAGGTGGGACAAAAAAAAAAAATCCACAAGGGAAAAAAAAAAAGAAAGAAAGAAAGAAAGAAGAGAGAAAGAAAGAAGAAAGAAAAAATCCACAAGCTGCTAACGTGAAGAGATGTTACTTCACAGGGGGGTGGGCCTTGTCCAATCAGGTGACGGTCTCAAGGGCAAACACCGAGGTTTCCCAGAGAAGCAATTCTGCCTCAGGTGTGCAATATCACCTCCCACCTGCGTCTCCAGCCTGCCCACCTGCCCTGCAGGTTTCACACGGACCAGCCCCACCATCGCAAGAGCCACTTCCTTGAGATGGGTCTCTCTACCATCTTCATATGTATCTTCTTGTATATATGTCCATACTTATTTCTCCAAATACGTATCTACCTGTCTCTGTCTCTCTCTCTGTGTATATGTCCACATACACGGTTTACTCTCTCTTCTGTATATATGTTTCCATATCCATAGACCTGTGTCTGTATATATGTATCTTCCTATATTTCCCGATACATTTTGCTCTCCCCGTGAGCTTCATCCTCATCAACAAATCCAATGCCTAGGTGAGCCGTGATTTCCATAGCACACTCTCACTGGCTTCTAAAACTTTCCGTAGGTACCTGCTGCATGCACACCATGCGGTCCCTCACGGTTCACTCCCCGCGTGGGACTTGCTTCTTGTCTCAACAAGACCCACATTAAACACTTCCCCGTCACTTACCTTCACGGGGGTGGCCGTGTCTCAAAGGTCAAGGTGCAGAGTTGGTTTCAGGATCCTTGCGAGAAGACCCCTCTGATCCCTGCCCATGCCTGCAGACGAAGATGTCCACATCCCGATCCACGTGTGGTGGATGGAGCAACATCCTCAAACACGTCTGCATGTGGTGCACAGAATAATGTCCCCAGAGACGTCTACATCCTGATCCCCGTGTGGTAGATGCAACCCGATTCCTGAGTGGTGCACAGAATAATCTCCCCAAAGGTGTCCACGTCCTGATCCCCACGTGGTGGATGGAACAATGTCCCCAAAGATGTCCACACCCCGATTCCTGGAGCCTGAGAACATGTCACATTAGGTGGCAAATGGGACTTTGCAACAGAGACAACTATTCAAGACCCCCAGACGGCCCCCATATGGGGCTGAGCTGCAGCTGGTGGAGAAACAGGGGGAAGGCAATGTTCCCACGGCAACAGCAGACACGCCAGAGACCCACGTCCCAGCCCCACTGGCTCCTGGCAGGCGAGCGCCTGAGCCGCCATCATGCAAGGGAGAATTCTTTGTTTCCCTGGGGGAGAAGCAGGTGCATCACGGGTTCAGGATCCAAGGGCATTCAACAATCCCCCCGACTACAAGCATCTTTGCAAAATATCACATTCTTTTAAAGTAAAAAAATAGAACACTATATAAATAATGGCTCAAAACAACAATAATAATAATTAAAAAAAAAAAAAAAGCTTCCAGATTGTTCCGGGGCTGGAAGAGTCCATGCAGTTCACTTGCTTGCCAGGACCACTGTGACTTCTTCCACAGTGAGGATCTCTTCGTTGTCACCTTTTTCCGTGTCCAAGGTGAAGTTCTCCCAGGTGACCTGAGGAGGGGAGGGAGGATGGGGATGTTGGGGTTTCAGGAGCCCAGAGAGCAGGACCCTACTGGGCCATGGATGTAGATGGGAATCAGGGACCCAGCGGGAGTGAGATCTTGTAGCGGGACTGCCCGTGGAGATGCCTGGGATAGGTGCCAGCAGGTGCAAATGTCCTGGGGCGTGATGGAGCCCGGGGACCAAGGGAGGGGAAGAGGGCTTCTCCAGGCCTGGTGAGCTAGGTGGGACCCTGGACTGGGGAGGGGCTCAGGGTGCATGATCATATTGCTGATATTGATCATTGATAACAAGGAAACGAGACGTCCATCTGGCTCGTGGGTGGGGGTCATGGAGACGGGCGGACATGATGCAGACGGTAAGGACTCCCCCTGTGGGGCGGCCCTGGGACAGAATTGCAGCCGCCAGTGGGAGGAAATGTGTCCGCCGCCCCAGGGCCGGTCAGAGGTGACGAGTGCACGCATGGGGTCTGGGGAGCAGAGCCCTCGTCCTCCCTGGTCCTTCTGGACGCCCTTGGGTTCTCTCTCCATGAGATCAGGCCAGACCCCTTCTCCTCGCCTCTGCCTCTGTCTGCAGGGCGCCCCCAATTTCCCCAGACGCACCTCACAGAGAAGAGCCTAACCCCTGACGCCCAGGGTCGGCCGGCGAGCAGGACACGGGATCCCAGCCACATCGTCCATGAAGGACAGCACAGTCCCCCTCGGCGGACATGCAGGGGAGTCCCCGGGGGCACTGCCCCCTCCCCGTCCTGGTTCTCCGCTCTGCCCCCCACCCTTACCCACCTGGTGGTCAGGCTGATGGGTATCGTTCCATTTGTCTTTGATGTGCGGAATCGGTGGGAAGAGGCTCTCTGACGCGAGGAACCTAGGGAGACAGGAAGCATGTGAAGGAAAGAGTCTGAGGACACGTGTCCTTCTCACAGGGAGGAGTGACACGTCCTCCTGCCTGCGGTGCGAGAAGCCTCCGGGGCCGCCGGCTGTAGAACAATTTCACGGAAGGCCCACAGCAGGGCAATTCAAATCTGAGACAGATGAGCCAACAGGAGACGCTATAGGATCGCATAGTGATAGGATCTTTCTAGAACCTTCACTCGCTCACTCGGGTACGGGGATAGGACGGGGGGATGTGGCTAGTCACAGGCAGCCTGGGGGAGCCCAGGGTCCCTCGGACCACAAGGCATGTGTCTGTCTTACATCCATCCAACCGTGAAGAGCACAGTTTCCGGTCTCGCAGGCTTCTGTCTATATGCTGGCTTAAGGGTTTGCCCCCTATTTCTAGCGTTTTTATTTAAACAGCAGACTTCCTTTTTGCCAAACATCGGAGTCTTGCTGCATTTTCAAAGGGGCGTTTGCTTTCTCTCTTACTGAAGGGAAAGCACCTCACATTCTGTGACCTGGAGGTGCTTCTGCTGAGCTCAGTAGTGTCCCCCCAAAATATATATTCAAGTCCTGAGCCCCACAATCTGGAAATAGGACCTTGTCGGGAAATCAGATCTTTGCAGTTGCAATCAAGTTAACATGAGCTCTTCCTGGATGACGGTGGCCCTAAATCCAAGGACAGGTGTCCCTATAAGACACAGAAGAGGAGACACACACACAGAGGAGAAGCCACGTGAGGATGGAGGCAGAGATGGGAGGGACGTGGCCACCAGCCCAGGGATGCCTGGAGCCCCAGAAGCTGGAAGAGGCAGGAAGGACCCTCCCCTGGAGCCTCAGGAAGGACCCTCCCCTGGAGCCTCAGGAAGGAGCACGGTCCTGCCCTGTCTGGATCTCAGCAGCCCTGCCCCACCTGGATCTCAGTGGTCCTGCCCCGTCTGGATCTCAGACTGCTGGTCACCAAAGCTGGGAGATGATGAATTTCTGTTGTTTCAAACCATCTGGTTTGTGGTCATTTTTCCCCCTGTGACCACAGGAAACTCAAACAGCTTTTCATGAAGATAACTGTCCTTGGGTAAGGCACGCGCTCCGTCCCCATTCTGGCAGCAGGTTGTGGGGCTGCCCCTGTTCCCCTTTGCCCCCAGGTCCAGGGTCCCCAGAGCACGGGGTGGTGCCATGCTGTGACTGGGGCATCCAGCAGGCAGGGCAGAGTCCTTGTCCTTAGGCTCCATCCCTGTGCAGTTAGTCACGCGGGTCCATCCTCAGGGAAATGCACACAGGACGCCCAACCAGGACTGGGGGGGCATCAAGGGGTACGCACAGGAGAACACCCCCTGGGTCCCCACAGTGTGCAGGAGGATCACCAGTTGCAAAACTCTCCATGCTTTGCAAAGCATGCCGTGCAATCTGCCTGCAACTAAAGAATTAATTCTTCCCCGTATGCATGTTCATTTGTGAGGTGCCCCCGAGGCATTTGTGAGGTGCCCCCGAGACCCTGCTTGGTGCTGAGATCACACATCTGACAAGACGTGGTAGCTGCCCACAGATGAGCTCACGGAGAGGCTGACGGTAAGCAGGGAGATGTGGATGTGAAGGCTCCCAGGAGGCCTCGGGGAAGGGAGTGGGCTTTGGCGGCCCCGAGGATTCCAGGACTCGGTAAGACTTATAGGGGGAAGTGAAGGGCCAGACGAGGGATTGGGCGGGGAGGCATTCCAGAAAGATGAAGCTCAGTGGGACTGAATGCAAACCCTCAGAGGAGGTCCAGCGTCCAGCTGAAATGGGAGGCCCAGACAGGTAGGCTCAGCATGGCCCCGGGGCCTGGAAGCATCTGAGAATGTGCATCCAGGGCTGCCCTTCAGGGGTCAGGACTAAGCCCCCGTCGGCTGCCCGCTAGACCTCCCTGGAGGGTTGTCACACCAGTGGGCTCCCTGCGCTCCATCTGAACGAGCGCCCTCTCTGTGTTGCCCATCTGCAAGGAGGATGCCAACCATCAGCGGAGGTTACCTTTTCAAAAGGCAGCCGAGGATCAGGGTAGTGATGAGGGTCCCCAGGACCACAAGTGCATAGATGGGCACGAGGCTGGGCTCGGTTTCCTCGGAACCTGGGGAGAGAGGGGGACACACCCCTTCGGATGAACGGTCAGTGCACGGCCTGCTCGTTCCCTCACCGGCTCACGGCTAACGAGAAAGGCTCGGAGCAGGAGGGAAATGCACAGCAAAGCGCCCATCCCGAAACCTTCCCGCAAACCTCCGGGAGCCAAAACAACCTCACGAACGTCCAGACCATAACGCGCTCTGGCAACGAGACGACCCGATTTAAAAACATAACAATAAAAAAATTTAAAAATAAATAAATGAACAAAAACGGACCCCCTCCCTCCTCAGATACACTTTTCCAGGCATACGGTTTGAACCAAGTTACCTCACAGCTAGTATTAGATCTTCCGTGTTGCTTATCATCTGGAATGTGCACTTTTTACAACTCGTTATTCTTGTAACAAGGCACATTTTATCTGTTACTATTTAAAAAGTCCAATTTTAAAAATCCAAGTAAGAAACCCAGTCCCTTGGGACGACTGGTGGCCCGGTCGGTTGGGTGTCTGCCTTCGGCTCAGGTCATGATCCCAGGGTCCTGGGATCTAGTCCCGCATCGGGCTCCCTGCTCGGTGGGAAGCCTGCTTCTCCCTCTGCCCCTCCCTCTGCTTGTGTTCCCACTCTTGCTGTGTCTCTCTCTGTCAAAAAATGGGTGAAATCTTTAAAAAAAAAAATCTTTTTTATCAAGGGAGCACCTGGGTGGCTCAGTCAGTTGAGTGTCTGCCTTCAGCTCAGGTCATGATCCCAGGG